ATTCACAGAGGTAAAAACAGACAGGTGATCTCATAAGCCTACTTTTATTTATTAAAAATAAGGGAAGTAGGCTAAAAAGAAACACGTACTTTACATACCTTAATCTTACACTGTTTGTGCTCTTAATTCCTGTCTCTAACACAAGTTCGAATCCCGCTCACATCACCGAAACAAGATATAATACCCCCACCATGCATAATAATATTATCTGATGACGCTTATGTAACTTGTTCACACGAAACATCATACCTACTACATATGCTACTACGGTATTTCATTTTCAGTTGCTTTTACCGCCATCAAATACGTACGTATAATGGCTTATCTGTGTTATCAGGCTTCATTCATGTAACCCCGGACCCTCATTACATAATAGCTTCATTGGACACCACAAATCACGCAGGTTGTGTTTGCCCTTCCTCAAGATGTTATCTGTGATTGTTACATGTTTATCTAATTGAAAATGTCTCCTATCTGCTTTGTACGTACATAATCACCTACCATTTCTGGGGAAGTTCTAGAGATAAAGCAAAACAATAACTCCCGCTAGCATGTGCCACACACTTATGTTTCTATTCCAAAATTTAATTTCCTGGAGTGTAACAATGATTAGTAATGGTTTATTGTCTCCTGTTTCTGTAGAGTAAATGTTTGTTTCGTGCTATAAAGAAAAAAAGATTATTGTCTGAAATGGAAGGATGAAATATATGGACAAGGGGACCCATGCTAAGTATAGGGAGATTAAGAATCAGAATGTGAGTAAATATGTTACTTACTTACTTACTTACTTACTTACTCATGGAGCTCTTGATGAGAAGCCAAATCTGCAGCTACTCAAGAATTTCCCAGCATTTTATTTGTTCATAAGAGCCCTCTACTAGTCCCTATCCTGAGCCAGATCAATCCAATCCAAAACAAGGCCGCCTATCTTTTTAAGATCCATTTTAATATTGTACACCCACCTGCATGTTGGTGTTCCTAGTGGTCTCTTTTATTCTGGCTTTCCCACCAATATCCTATATGCATTCATCGTTCCCCATTCATTCTACTTGCCCTGCCCATCTCATCCTCTTTGACTTGATCTTTCCAATTATACAATTGTACTTGGAGAAGAGTACAATGTATGAAGCTCCTCATTATGCAGTTCTGCTCCAACCTCCTGTGACTTCACTCTCTTCGATCCAAAGATACTACTCAACACCCTATTCTCAAACATCCCAAGTCTATGTTCCTCCCCAAATGTCCGAGACCAAGTTTCACACCCATTCAGAATCGCGGAATATACCTACAAACACATTTCCTAAATGCCCAAATTGACGTTCCGCATAATTTTCACTTCTTGACGTTGGTTTCCTCCTTGTTTTTTCCATTGTCTTATCATAACTGACTAGAAGTTCCCCGAAGCGGATTTTGCACTAAATTCATCTCTTAATGTTTATTCTTAATGTCGAAAGAATCAGATGTCTAGAACGGATCAAGAAGTCCCTAATCATTTAGGCCTGTGTATACTGCATTGTAACCATGCATTACAGAAAATAAATCCCTCTTCTGCAGGAAGTAATATTTTTCTATTTATTCATCTCGTGTAAAATCTCATAAGCGCGATTTTTGTATTCGTGAGTAACATAAGTAGGAAAGCGGCCTCAGTAGTCTAGAGGTAACGTTCCCACCTCGTGACTCGTGGTACGCGGGTTCAAACCCGGCGGAGGTTGTGGAATTTTTAAGGGCGGAAAAAATCAGGGAACAAGTCCTCTGGGAGGGACTTTAAGCCGTGGGTCCCGTGTCGTAGCTTTACGGCACGTAAAAGAACCTCATGTCTCGAGGAGGCCTCTGAGCCAAATTATCGGACATTTACCGCCCAACAAGAGTCTCTAACGCCTCTGGTAGATGTGGGAAGCATCAGGTACCGCTGAGCCAGTAGAGGCCGAACTCGCTGGCTGAGTCGGGGCTGATGGCAAGCACCAATACCGGTATGGTATAGAGACTGGTAGAACATCAAAGGGGGACGTACAATAGACTACTAGTCGCGGTGCATGGGGAAGCCCACCCCCTCCAGTAACAATAATAATAATAATAATAAAATAATAATAATAGCATAAGTAGGAACAGAGCCAGAGAGATCTCTGGTAGAATATTTGAAAATAACTGCATCTTTCTTAGAGAAGGTAGTGTCAGGACTGTTAAAGTAGCATGAAATGTATTGAAAATTAAAAAAAAACTGGTTAGTTAGATATGGAGCTGATAATGTTATTTTGTGTGTTTCAGATGAACCGTCCTATCCAAGTGAAACCAGCGGACAGTGAAAACCGCGGAGGTGAGCCAGTGATCTCTTGGGATTCTTCTCAACTTTAAACGCCCCAATTATAATAGCGGTCTGATCCAGTCTGGAATATCTGCAATAGTAATGCATTCAATTCCATATTGGGTTAGCACCGGAGAGGAACATGGCACCTCTGAAGTTGGATCAATCCCAGATTAGGCGTCAATTCAAATATATATATATATAGCGATTAAAAAAGGCAAAGCTATCCCTGTAGCAGGCCGTGAAGGAACATAGGTTTTTGAGATGTCGAGGATCCCACATTTTCTAGTTAGTCGGCTGAGGCGCTGAGGTTGTCAGACTTAGGCCCTGGTCACTCTTTACCGCCCAGGAAATTTCGTGGTACTCATTTCTGTTAGATGCTGAGTCGAAACCATGACCATAAAGCGGCTGGAAAGATGAGGTAAATTAAAGTAACCAATGACCTCATCGGGACTCGAATCCGCGACTTTCCGGCTTGTAGCATAGTGCCTCAACCAGCTACGCTACCGCGTGCGGTAGTATCACAAATACTATGCGCGATAAAGAATTATATCTTATGAGATACAACGCCGTGTAGTGTGGTAAAATCATCCGATGTTTCTGAGGAAAATATTATCACATGTGACTAATAACTATATTGGTTTTGGTTGGATGATTGGATTTATTAACACCATATCTTACAATCACTCGTAGTCACAATAATAAATGACTGCCTGTGACTCGCTCCATGCTTACTCGTTCCATTTTGGTCTCTATTCGAATCTGAACTACGGCTCGCTTCTCTTCTAGAACGTTTTTTACTGTCTTCTCCTGGCTTCTACTTATCTGAATTCAGAGTTACTTTACGACTGGCGGTTTACCGCCAATCAGTTCGTCTTGGCGATAATCCTCTTGAGACTCACGACCACTAATATTTTATAAACGGAACACTTGCAGTCATAGTCCTCATGTAACATCCTCTCTGACGAGAGGATGGGTCCGACATTTACAATTTCGCCAGCACAGCCACTCTCATGTCCAAGTCCCGCAGGACTCATGACCATATACTGTTTCAGATTCGAGACTCCCCTAACCTGGAAGGCCAGGTCCCCGTATTTTTATCCCCCAGGAACAGGGTAACCCTGTTATACCCCCAGCGTTGCCTCCTTTCTCTTATCTGTATGCAATTCTCTTCTCTTCTTGCATGGCGTATCCTTATCCATGGAAACGTTTGTATAACACTGCGACGGGCTGGTTTCCAAGAATCCATCTCCATGGAAACGCGTTTGCAGATTCGTTCCCTAGCAATGGGTCTACATGTGCTTACCTCCGAAACTTCTGTTGTTCTTCACTGGACTACAGGGCGTTATATCCCGGGCCATGTAACCAGGGCTATGAGAACCACAGATCTAGCTTAGTTATGAGTGCTGAACTAACACTAACCACTGGATGACATCAGGTAATTTTAGCTGTAGTGTCAGAAGCACTTGATTGCAATCCAGCCAACAACAGTAAATTAAAATAAATTTTGCTATCGATAAATATGAATTGTACATGGGGAATATCCAGCTTCAGAAATCCCATAATAGTACTAGACATAATTTTGTGCTTATTAACGAAATTTAGTTTCTACATTTTTGGTTATAGGAAGATTGACCAGGGCTCGAAATTCATTATATCAGTACTAGGAGACAAAATCTTATTTATAAATCCTTTGGCTCAATTCTTCGGCTGCCAAGTCAATCTTAGTGAACAATGTAGCATATATTTCCATTGTTTCTTCTATCTTCTAATATATTTAGATAGCCAGCAACTCCATCTTCTAAATACACTTTGTATTTTCTTGAAAGTTTGGTGTCTTCTAGTTCTGTCAGTGGTTAATAATTTCAAGCCCTGTGTCTTTTATGCTTTATGTGACCAGTTTATTTTTTTATATTAACGAACCTTAATTTTTGTATTTTGATGTAGGCCTAGTTTAATTATATGAATATATTTTGCTTTGGAATTATGTTTTAAACATAACAGAACAGTCCGTTAGTCCGTCTTACTTCTATACGGAAATATTTTACAATAACTTCACAATTAAAACTGCATATTGAATTGGAATTGAATAAATCAATTTATGCCCTACAGGAACCCGTGGGTCCTGTGGGACCTGTGGGGCCTGTAGGGCAGAGGGAGTAACAGGAGGATGGAGAGAACTACACAATATCTTATTAAATGAACAGCAAATTTAATTATATTTGCAATAAATTTATATATGAAAATACATTTATAAGTATGATACTAGACAGACGTGAATATCAGTGGGAAATACTTCGTTAAGAAGCGATGAAAGTTGTTAGGTGTACGAAAAATATTAAATAAATGACTGCTGAGGCCTGTCATTGGTCACGTTCTATATGAAGTTCCAACCACCTCAGTCCTAACAGCTTTTAATAATATCCTTTTAACTCGTTCACAATTTTCAAAATTATTGCCTGTCAGGAAATTTCGTCACTAATATTTTGCATGCAACCCTTCTCGCCCAACCCATCACAGTCTCACACATTTTGATATTCTGAATTACTCACTTGCTTCATGTTAGCTACATAGACTAACAGATCTATTCCTGAACACTTTGTTTAAAAGAAATTTTAATGATGTTTAACAGTACTGTCTTCTGGGATGTTATGACATGTTTTCTTATAGAACTTTACCGACGTTTCGATGGAAAGTAGCGCCTCCATCATAAGAATCGAAAAAGAATATTCCGAGCAAGCAGTCATACAAGTAGCTAGCAGACTACACGGCGTCACATCCTATAAGTTAGGAGGCCTACTCTTCACGGTCACCGCTGTGGGAAACCCACTTCTCACATATAAAATATTTTATTCCTTCAGAATAAAACATGATCAGAACACATAGAAAAGTTTAATTTTCTCTTATAAAATTCTCATATCACTGAATATTTTAAGTGAGAATTTTGATAACCCGCGCCCACTACCTAAACTGCTCCTTACCGGATGCGAAATTTCGCTTATTCAATGTGTTGACAATTTAGTCGAGTTATTTATTCAGTGTCATAAAAGTGACACACAATTCTGTTGGGTTTGTAACTGCGTTTGCAGTGCGTAAGGAAAAGCATCAGGACATGCATTTAAAGGAAGCGAGTTTGGCTTATGACGGTTTAGCTCTACCAGCAGCAGGTCGCACTCAGACGTACTTGTGTCACTTTGCGCCGCTCAATTAGTGCTCTTACATTAAATATAAAAGCACTGATGTCATGACACCGTTCCTGTAAGGGAACTGTGCACACGCGACTCTCAGGGGAAATTGCTCAATGCAACACACAGTTTAGACTAATGTTTAGCACTTCCTGAACCACTTTCATTTCTGTTGCAGTCGGTTTAAGATATGAAGGATTTTAAAGTGTTATATCTATCAGTTATTTTTTCAGTAATTTTTTGAGAAGAATATGATCTTTATTCGCGACTCTAAAAATATATGTGTAAATTATTATAATGCGTGTTTGTTTAATGCCCCGAGATACTGGTAATAAACTTTTGTCGATGATCAAACAGGGCATTATTACGGGTTTTCATAAAAGTAAAAATTAAAGCTATCCCTGTAACAGGCTATGAAGGCCCATATGGTTGTGAGACGTTGAGGGTTCCACATTATCTAGACAAACGGCTCAAAGATGGCGGTAAGGTTGTCAGCCTTACGCGTCGGCCGCGCTTTGCTCCGCAGGAAAATTATTTAATTAATTCCTGGTACTCATTTCTGTTAGAGGCTGAGTCGACCCCAGGGCCATAGTGCGGCTGGAAGGATTAGGTCAATTGAAAAAAATCGAATGACCTCATCGGGACTTGAACCCGAGACCTTCCGGCTTGTAGCATGATGTCGTAGGCCTGTATAAGGGAAAATAACCTGTTAAAGTAGCATAAAATTTGGGGCTTCGGGGGTTCCTTAAGACATTTGTGTAAGTAAAAGAAAGAATGGATTTCTCTATAAGTTTATGGTATATTAAAGTAAACCTACCATGGCCAACTTCAGGGAGTAGAGTCTTTCTTTCAGAAGCCGATCATTGCACAGTTGGTTAAGAAATATGTCCTCTTTTATGGAGCTCAAAAGTTTATCATGTTCACAAGAACCCGACCTGGAACCTTACGTGAGCCAGACTAGTTTTACCCCATATCCTGACGCTCAGTATCTTTAAGATATGCCATGATACTATCCTGCCACCTGAATCTGATTCTCGGAAGTGGAGATCTCGTCGCTTCAGCTTCCGACTGAAGTTTCGTATTAGTTTCTCATCTGTCCTGTTCATGCTAAATGGCAACGCCCATCTCATTCTCTTTGATTTGATCTCGTAACAATAGTTTGTGAAGGGGGGCACGCGGTAGCATAGTTGGTTTAGGCACTATGCTACAAGCCGGAAGGTGGGATCGAATCCCGATGAGGTCATTGGATGTTTTTCAATTTACCTAATCCTTCCAGCCTCACTATGGCCCTGGGGTCGACTCAGGCTCTAACAGAAATGAGTACCAGGAATATTCTTGGGAGTAAAGCGCGGCCGGCGCGTAAGGCTGATAACCTTACCGCCATCTATGAGCCAATTGTCTAACAAATGTGGGAACCTGAACATCTCACAACCCTATGGGCCTCCATGGCCTGTTACAGGAATACCTTTACTTTTTTTTTACTTACTTTATAATATTTTAGGAAATATAGAGGGGCGGATAGAAGTGACAAGAAGACGAGGAAGAAGACGTAAGAAGATGCTGGATGACCTTGGGGACAGAAGAGGATACTGTCATTTGAAGGAGAAAGTTCTANAAGGCCGTGGGTTCGATTTCCGATGGAGTCATTGGACTTTTTAATTGACTTAATCCTTCCAGCCGCACTATTGCCCTGGGGTCGACTCAGCCTCTAACAGAAATGAGTACCAGGAATCTTCCTGGGGGTAAAGAGCTGCCGGCGCGTAAGGCTGACAACCTCACCGCCAGCTATGAGCCGATAGCCTAGAAAAATGTGAGACCCAATGGACC